GCCACATTGGCATGCCAAGTCAGCATCATTTCGTATCCAAACGTGATTTGCACGCCTGAGTCAAATTTTTGCACCAGTTCAATGTATGTCATAAATTCTAGCACCAAAGTGACCGTTTGCGGCAAGTTCAAGCACCACCGATGCAATTGACTCTAATCTAGCTATACTTGGTTCCGTACGTGTGCATGTATCAATTACTGATTTACAATGATATATTTATCCATTACATGAAAATTTCCAAATTTGATGTGCACTATAACCGTGGCGTGCATATGGAATTGAACGCCACCTTTACTGTGCTAATTACCTGTGGCGTTCAATTGTTGGCGGACACTACATACCAATGGCGTTCGCCCTGAATGGCATGACACCGATAACTTTCAGAATATCAAAGTCCATATAAACCAACCTGTAATTGAATGCTTAGGTAAACAGTGGTATATCGGGCCCATCAGAGTTCAAGTTCTGATGCTCGCGTTTATTTCTGTATTTCCTGCGAGCACGGTCAGTGAAAGAAGACGTTCCAGTCAATTACAAGGCGCGTTTATATGAGCGCCTACGTCTGTACTATGTTCTTTTTATCAAAGTCCCGAATGCCATTAGTTAGCGGATATAACTTAGAAATGGCGCTCGAGTTCTATGGCAATGCCATTGCTATTTTGACAAATTCCGAGTGGCATCCTGAATTCAAAGCGCACCACGAATTGTCTAAACTCTAAACCAACAAACTTACTCCACCGGTGCCTCCATTTTTTGAACTTTGAGCAACTGCTGGCCTTACTTCACACTATGCATCTTTAATATGTCAACAAGCATATGTGATTGAATGGTTACGATGACAATGGCATATCCAGCCCCTCAGAATTTAAGTACTAGATTTGATGCTGGTGCTCGCATTTTCTTGGGTTTATTTTAGGCCTTCCATCGATGTATGTTCATTGGGAGTAGATGTTCCATCGACTACGAAGACGTTTGTGACGACTTTGTCAATCTCAAGATGAGTGTACGTGTCACCTTGAAGGTGCTCATGAGGATATGGTGTAAGTGCGTGCATCCATAAAAATAAATGTATATGCATATGTATGTATGTATGAGCATCTGCATCTGTACCGTGTTCTAAGAAAAATGCTTCAAGAAGACTGTTGTACAATTACTGCTGGTCTTGCTCATCTCAACTACTGCTCCAACTATATAGGCATCCTCCACTCTTCTACGAGCGTTATAACACATCAACCTGAAACCTGCACAGTCGAGAATACCACCCCAAGAATAAAAAGTTAGAGCTTCTAGTTTGAGTATCAATAAATGGTGGGCTTGTCCAAGATCGACATGGAATGGCTCCAAGAGCCATTGAGATGGCTGTTCGTTGCCTTGGTCATCTTCGTGTTGCTGCAGCTGTGGCGTGGCAAGGCGCCGCCGCTGCTCCCAGGGCCGTACTCGCCGCCGATTGTCGGCAATATTTTCATGATGGACCAGCTGACTCACCGGGGCTTCGCCGCGCTGGCGACGAAGTACGGCCTACGGCGGCCTTCTGCACCTCCACCTCGGCAAGGTCCACACCTTCGCCGTGTCGACGCCGGAGTACGCGCAGCAGGTGCTGCAGGCCCAGGACGCCGCCTTCTCGCACCGGCCAGCCACCATCGCCACCACCTACCTCACCTACGACCGAGCCGACATGGTGTTTGCCCACTACGGGCCCTTCTGGCGTCAGATGCGCAAGCTGTGCGTCATGAAGCTCTTCAGCCGGCGCCGTCCCGGGACGTGGCTCGCCGTGCGCGACGAGTCCGCGGCGCTAGTCCGTGCCGTGGCCCGGCGGAGCGGCGATCCCGTGAATCTCGGCGACCTCATCTTCAACCTCAGCATGAACGTCACCTTCCGCGCAGCGTTCGGCGCTGAAGCCGCCGCCAGCGACGGCGATGGCCGGAAGCAGGACGAGATCATCGCCGTCATGCAGGAGTTCTCCAAGCTCTTCGGCGCCTTCAGCATCGGCGACTTCATCCCGTGGCTCGGCTGGGCGGACCCGCAGGGCATCAACGTGCGCCTCCGAGCCGCCCGCACCGCCCTTGACGAGTTCATCGACAAGATCATCGACGAGCACATAAAGAGAGGCAAGAACCCTGACGACATGGACGCCGACATGGTAGACGGCATGCTCGCGTTCCTCCCTGAAACGAAGCCAGAGAAGACCGCTGGCGACGACCTGCAGAACACGCTCCGCCTCAACCGTGACAACATAAAGGCCATCATCCTGGTACGTACACGCACGGCCAAACATCCATTATTTATTTCTAGCATCTACTCCCTTCGTTCGGAAATACTTGTTCTACAAATGGTTGTATCTAAACTTGTTTTAGTTCTAGATATAATCATTTTTAAGACAAGTATTTCCGAACGGAGGGAGTACTTCATTCTTTTTTATAAGACGATTTAGGCAGTCCGTTTTAAACTGTTTTGGGCGTATGTGAAATGTGTAAAACGGTCTTATAAAAAGGAACGGAGTATACCGTTGATTACATCTGCCGGCGACCGTGGTCTTTTGTTTTTTTAATAAACTTTCAATCTATTTATTTTCAATTATAACAGTACAACCCCTCGCAAAAAAAATATAACAGTACAACGAAGATCCAAAATAATAAAAATTTGGTGTGGCTAGATCTCAGTTGACTAAGACTTAATCAAGTCTCAGTCAAGTGACACGGCATATTAAAAAAATAGAAGAAAATTTTACACAATTCTCTATGTAAGATCTCGTGAATATAGAATCAACTCAGACTTCGTTAAGTCTCAGCCGACTGAGAATTAGCAATCCCGACAAAAAATATACATCTAGATTCGTAGATCACCTAGCGATGACTACAGTCACTGAAGTGAAGCGAAGGTGCGCCACCGTCATCGCCCCTCCTTTGCCGGAGCCATACACAACATGTTGTAGTAAACAGTTGGGAAGTCGTCGTGCTAATCTAAAACACCATAATGACAGCGTGCGAGGAGTCGTTGTGCAATAGCGGTGCGGCACGGATAGTAGCTTGGCCATTGTTCACATCTAAAACACCGTGCTCATTCTTGAGTTACACAGTATCAACATTTTGTCTTGTGCAACTTGAGTAATCACAGATGTGCAATTAATTATTTTAACTTCCACAATTATTAATTCAACATTTTTATTATATATTTTTCTATTTTTTTAAAGCTTGTTATATATTTTTCTAATCTTACATGTAAGGTGCCCATTTTGTTATATGCAATTTAAATAGCGATCGTAGTTACCATTTTTTCTATCATAGATTTTTGTAATTTAGCTTCCAACTGTCAATTGCATAAAACACAAGGAAAAATGAAAGCAGCAAATAAAGGAAAAAAATACAGGTTGGGTTTTACAGAAACGTAGCCTTTTGTTCTCTCTGAGAAAAAGTACTAATAAAGAAGAGCCATAAAGGCCAATATAAGCAGGCCCAACCAGCAAGAAAAAGAAGGAGACCAAAACAAACAAACAAACGCCCTCCAAATTGCAATTCATTTTGTCTCAAAAAAATTGCAAGTCATTATTTACTTATTATATCTAAATATTTTAGTTGCTATAAAAAACAAATTTTAAAAAAATTTGTTCTCATTAAAATTACATGAATCTTTCATAAAATATTTCAAAATTTTAAAATTACGCATTTTAAAAATATCAAAACTTTTCAAAATTTAGACAAACACTTGTTTAAAGTAATGCAATTTTTAAAAATGCACAACCATTTTTAAAACCTGCAAACACGTTAAAAGGTGTGATTAATTTTAAAATTTCATGAACATTTAGAAAAACGTGATTATATTTTTTGAATTACATGAATCTTTTTTGAAGTACACGAACACTTTTTAAGATTACCTGAATTGTTTCAAAAGTTATGAATGCTTACCAAAATTACCAATATTTTTATAAATGTGTAAAAAATTTGTTCTTATTTTATGTAACTAAAGTATATATTATTATTGAAATTTGAAAGAAAGAAAATAAAACATCATACATGTTAATGGTTCGAGCAGTGGCAGGCTGATTAGGACATCCTTCAGGTGGAGTGAGTTCTATGTTTCTGCTGCGAGCGACACAAAGCATGCACAATCCCTATTTATGGCATTAAGCGACAAAAAAGTGGCCCTTCAGCACAAGAATCAGCACACGAACGAGCAAAGTGGGCTGGCCCACTTAACCAGTAGTATAGGATTACGAACTTGGCAATCTCCTAGATGGTATTTTCGTGGTTTCCCGGTTTTATCTTAGGTTTTTATTATCTTATTTCTCTATTTATTTTTTCTGAATTTCATTCCAACAATTGAATCTTTTATCAAAAAGCGGTTTGGTATGTCATGTGAATGTAGTTAATAAACTGTATGTTTGACACCATTCCTGTTGAACTTTCTCGTAAAAAACGTTCCTGTTGAACTGGTAGAATATTTATGTCTTCATTGCAACACACGGACAATTAATTAGTAATCAAAAAGGAATTTGTGCTATCCAACATAATTTTTTGGAAACAATTATAGAACCTTATAACTGTTCATCCAACAACATACATTGAAATTTCGCCATGCACGTGACTGCTCTGGTTTTCAGTATGACATGATATACTGTAATTATGTCATATGGCTATGTGACTGCTCTGTTTTCCTGTGTGTAATAATAAACTAACGTTGTGATGGGGCTGCGTGCCTGCAGGACGTGATGTTCGGTGGGACGGAGACGGTGGCGTCGGCAATAGAATGGGCAATGGCCGAAATGATGCACAGCCCAGATGACCTCTTGCAGCTGCAGCAGGAGCTTGCCAACACGGTGGGTCTTGGCCGAAACGTGGACGAGTCGGACCTCAACAACCTCTCCTTCCTCAAATGTGTGATCAAGGAGACACTCCGGTTACACCCGCCCATCCCACTGCTCCACCGCGAGAACGACCGAGGAATGCGTGGTCGGCAACTACTCCGTGCCCCGGGGCTCGAGCGTCAATATCAACGTCTTCGCCATGGGCCGCGACACCAAGTATTGGAAAGACGCCGACACATTCCGTCCGTCGCGGTTCATGGCGGGGGAAGGGGAGGCAGCTGGGGTCGACTTCAAGGGCGGGTGTTTCCAGTTCCTGCCGTTTGGGTCTGGTCGTCGCTCGTGCCCCGGGATGGCGCTCGGCCTGTACTCGCTAGAGCTCGTTATTGCGCAGCTCGCCCACGGGTTTAATTGGGCGCTTCCCGACGGCAAGAAGCCGTCGAAGCTCGACATGGGTGACATTTTCGGCCTTACCGCACCGCGCGCCACAAGGCTCTGGGTCGTGCCCACGCCCCGACTTACCAGCCCTTTGGTTGTTGATGTCTGACGCCGCGTGCCTTGCGCGCACAGCTGATGCTATGTACCAGTTGCGTAGGGTGTGAAGGAGTTTGATTAGCGTGCTAGTTAATCTAGTTGTAGCTGTAGCTATTTTTCCCTTTTGTGTTAGATATTTCTTAGCTTCGTTTAAACAAGATCGCACCCCTACAAATCGGCTGCCTCGAACATGGAATAGCACGACCAGTTGTGGGCATCGTGGAGCTGGTTCATGAATAAAAAGGAAGAGAAGAATGGCAGAAAAACAGCAAGTTGCTCGCATAGCACAAATGTTTACACCAGCATGTTATTCTTCTCCTTTGTTTCTCCTCTTTTGGCGAACTTGCTCGAGAACGATAGTGTTTTTGTTTTCAAGAGTTAATTACACTTTTGATACGTAAACTTACAATTGATGTACAGATTCATACGCAAACTTGAAAAATGATGCAAATCAATCCTACAATTTGTGTCAGCTTGCCTACACTTCATATCTGCGCATGGGGCAGGCAAAGAAAGAAAGAGAAATATATATAGCAAAACCCATTGCGCCCGGTTGGAATCGAACCAAAAACATTGCCCCAACATTACACGTGCCAATAACTCAACCATGCGCAACTTTCTGTTAGTATTATATGTATATACATTCCTTTATATGACTAGGAAACAATTGATTTGAAGTCAAAATAGACACTGCAGGATGGTCTGAACAATTTTTTCTTTCTGTTTTTCGGTTTTATTCCACCAGGGACCGGGAAATTGATTTCCAACAAAAAAAATCTGAATTTCTGCTATTTTTTTGTTTGAAATTTCGAAATGGATCTTGAATTCAAATTTTCAACAAATTTAAATTGGAAAATATGAGTTTTTGAGCGATTTCAATAACATTGGGGGCTTACCGGATTTTTTGAATGAATTTTAAATACATGCATACAAGTTTATTTGACAACATCTGACCTTTTAAATTAAAAAAAACTTAATTTTTGAATGATATCAAAAACATTGGGGGCTCACCAAAATTTAAGTATATGCTTACGAGTTTATTTGAAAATATCTTACCTTTTAAATGAAAAAACTTCAATTTTTTAACGATGTCAAAAACATTCAGGGCTCATAGAAATTTTCGGTAACCGATCGACCAAGGAAAAACACGGAGATGAAGATGCACACATGCATTAAATCCAGTGTAATATACATTTTGTGTTCCAAATCAATTTCCTGGTAAAATATAAAAGCATCAGTTAGTCTAGACTAACATAAAACCATAGTTGGTGCAGTGGCCAACTCCCTACAGCTTTGTCACTTGTTCGATCCCTGCTGATTGCACTTTTCTTTGCTATGTTTCTATTTATTTCTATACCACTGACAGGCAGGACCCACATGCTGGTACTGGGCTAGAGTTCACGGCAAACGACGGAAATGTACTTAAACGCACCTCAAACACAAGTTATAGCACTGCTTTGTGTCGGGTTTTTTTTTTCAAGTTTACATATGGATTTGCATGTCGAGTGTAAGTTCTTATACTAATAGTGTAATTAACTTATTTTTTAAACAGAAACAAAAGACTTGCTCCTTCATTAATCAAGGGAAAGAGTTTAGAATACATAACACGGACTTAACACATAGCCCATCGGTAAAGAATCAAATATGGATTACTCTCATGGCATAATGATGCTCAAGTGCATAGCTCCACACTAACCCAAAGTATGGCCTAGTCTTGGATAAGCTTGAGTATGAAATAGGGCGGCGTCGTTTTCTTCCTGAAAACTATAACGCGCTGGTGGCATGAGGAGAGTTCCCATCATTGATATCACGTCCACCGGGATTGATAGGTTCACGGACTCCTCCGAGGATGAGTAGGCCATGAGAGGTGACGGGGGCTCTACTCCCAAATGGATCATCCGTCTCCCATGTTCTACTCTTTCTCGCGGGCGACCACACATTCACTTCACGGGTCTTGTGACGACCATTGATGGAGACGATAAATGAATGACGCGGGCACTCGAATGGAACAAGAAGGACTTGGACGACGGACTTCGCCCAGGCTAGGTTTACGCCCCGGTCCCCCTTTTTTAGTGAAAACCCTCCAAAATGTAAATGTTTTCCTCAAGTTTGAATAAAAATCATCCGGTTTAGATGAATTTCATCTAATTTGTTAAAAGGCGGTTTGAAATGTGTTCTGGTAGCTTTGAATGGTTGGCTTCTCCATGTCCGCATACTAGTCCCCTTATCAGCGGACAGATGCGCTGTCCGTTTTGCAGGCCACCGCCGTTGGAAGTGCCCTAACGCATAGCAACTTGATGGGACTCATGAGCAGGAGCATGCTCCGACCAGCTCAAGATCATGGGCCAGATCCGTGATATTACCCGTGCAATCAAGATCTCAAAACACGTGGCTGAAAAAAAATCTTGCTTTCAAATTATAGGAAAGCTGCAATTTCTAAGTCCAGGAGACACGGCGCATCTCGCTTTAAACAGCAACCGGGAAGTGTCGGTTGTTGACTCCCTATTCAATTAGCAAAATGCACATGCCCAAATGCATGCATATCCTGTAATATCCGATCTATTATATACTACTCTAGCACTCTGATGGATCTGGATCCGTATCGGCGCCAGCGCTTTTACTACGAGCACTGTGATCGATCTGGATCTGGATCTGGGTCCATGTCTATTATATCTAGCTCTCTCACACTGCTGGCCGGTCCAAGCACCACCACGACACCATAAGCACGGATGGGTTACCTAGTTAATGATCAAAGTCCTCTCAAAAAAAGGTTAATGATCAAAAGAAGCAGAGTAATTAAGCAGCTGATGCACATCATGCAGCTTACAAGTTGAGATGTCCGCGACCTGAAGAACCATGTATAATGCAGCGGCGCAACCACTGCGGTAGACTCACCTCACTGAACGCTGGGAGTTCATCAACTATCTATAGGCTCTAAGAAAGTAAATTCAAGATTTATTTGAAATATTTCGCGTGAAATTTATGTGTTATTTTACCGCGGTAACCAGATATCGCCCGCCCTCAGTAAAACTTGTCGGGTGTGTCTAGGGCATATCTAGATGTGCTATAATTATTGCACATCTAAATGAGTGAATTAAGTATAGAGAGAAAGAGAAAAAAGAAAAAAATATCTACACGAATCTCAACATAAGATTAATGACATAGAACTTAGATGTGCAATACTTATAGCACATCTAGATGTGCTTTAGCAAAACTGAAACTTGTCAATCTGACGGCTAAAACCTTGGTGGCGGTATCATCACACGTAGTTTCTCGCTAACATGGGTGATTGCGCACTGGCGTTGATGGAACTCGGGCATCTAAATAATCATTTTAAAGTAGCCACTAAGGGGGAAAAAGTATATGTCGAGTGGTGTTCTATTTGCGGAGTGTATTTCATCAGAGACTCAATAAATAGGTCATTTGCCGGCTGCCCACCATTGACTGGGATCCTAAGGAAAGCCTGTGAAAGTGGTTAGGAAACTGAACTCAGATCCCCGGCCCCGTGACCCCGAGCTAGGGTTCCTCCCCTGCTCCCCCGCCGCCGCCGGCCACCCCTCGCCCCCTCCCG